ATCCCAAGATGAATCGCAACACACCCAACCACTCAAATCAGTGAAAACACAAGATTTGAAGCATCTACACTAGGGGAAAGATCACCGAAGTATCCTAAGATAAATCGCAACACACCCAACCACTCAAATCAGTGAAAACACAAGATTTGGAACATCTACACTAGGGGAAAGATCACCGAAGTATCGAAGATGAATCGCAACTTACACAGGCATCAAGATCAGTAAAAATCACAGTTTTGGAGGGAGGAAGAAGATGAGGAAGGGGGAGAAGAGGACGGGGAGGAGGAGGAGGAGGAGGGAGGAGGGGAAGAAGAGGAGGAAGAAGAAGAGGGGGAAGAGGAAGGAGGAGAGGGGGAAGAGGAAGAAGAAGAAGAAGAGGAAGAAAGGAGGAAAAAGGAGGGGAGACTTCCTCCCTTCCCACTCACCTCTTGTTGGTCCCTAGGCAATGTAGTCCCAAGCTTGGTTCTAGCTCCTTGAGTATGGCTTCCCCACTTCCCGAATTCTCTTCTCCTTCTCTCACTCCTCCTCTCAAGTTATGGCAGGCTCCTACCTCTAAGGCTATGGAGTCCTTCCCTCTAGAAGGGCTAAGGGGACCCCTTTCAGCCTCTCCTCCTACCTCACAGCCTGAGGGCTATGGCAGACCACTCTCCTTGCTTCCTCCTAGCCTCTAGGCCTTCTCCCTTAGTCTCATCACCATAGCCAGGCTCCAGGCTAGCTCCGACTCTCACTTCCTTGCTCTACCTCACTAGTACTCACTCACGGACTCATTTTGGCAGCATGGGCTCCTCTCATGCTCAAGTGGGAGTGGCGGCCTGCACCTCCAGCTTATGTAGGCTGAAACTGGTGCACTGCCCCACCCTTAGGCCTCTCAAAGTGCCCCTAGGTGGACCGAGGTGCCCCCAAGGCCAAATTTCCGGTTTTGGCCTATCTGGAGGTACCTGGGCCTCATTCCGGCCAGGTACATGCAGCCTGAGAGGCCGGTACCTTCTCGGACTACCCCTTGGTCTACCTCGGCCTCTTTTTACTTCAAAAAGAGCTGCCTTTTGGGGTACCACTCCCCAAAATGCAGCCTTTACTGAATTTTGAGGGCCTAAAGGCCCATTTTTCGTCTTTTTCCTGGTCTAGGCCTCTTTTGGGTAGGCCGTTGCATTTTTCCAAGTGGCGGCTCCAATCTCAGCCTTGGATTTGGCTGAGATCCATGGTTCTCATCATTCTGAGCTACCCCCAAGCTCCCCTTGGCCCAAATTTGAGCCTTGTACTTCACTTTTCAATTTTTTTGGTGTATCTGGCCCAAGGAATACACAGTTTTGTCTTGTTCCTCTCTTTGTTTTCCCTCCATTTTGCTGCCAACTCATTCCGGAGCTAGCCGTTTTGTGTCAGCCCACAAAAAACGACTAGATCTCCTCCTCCGCAAGATGAGATTTCAGATCTAAGGCCCAAAAATGAGCCGGCCAACTCACATCAGCATTTTTCTTTATTTTTGTTGCTTAAATTCAGATATTGCAGAGATAATGCCCCAAGGACCTTATCTCTGCAATCCGGACTGCCCTCCTAGGATCTAGGAGGGACGAGGTCATCATTGAGACCTGCCAGTCCCTACCGCTGCAGTCCCAACCTGGCGGCACTTTTTCCTCCACTCCTTCCTCCTCCTTTGTCTCATTCTCCCCCCTTTTTCTCATTTACTATTGGGATAAGTGTCCAACAACTATTTCTCCTCTTTCTAGCTGTTGGACCTTTCCCAAGGCCTGATTTTGCAGCTGGCATATGGCTGTTACACCTCGGACTGCAGTAGTGGCACCCCCAAGGCCCAAGGGGGCTCCTTTTTGCTGCCGCTGCTTCCAGTTCGAGACCCCCTTGCTCCGATTTCCTCCGGCCAACCTTTTCTCCACGTGGAGTCCTTGGAACTTCGTCTTTCTTGGCCTGGCCGGTCGGGATTACTCGGACCGCTGGCCAGTCCCCCCCTTACTGCCACTACTCCCTCTCCTCTTTTTCCCTTCGACACCTCCTGTTGGCGCTCGCTGCGGCGGTACTTATTATTTTCATCCGGACCCCTGGCCCGGGCGGTCCCGTCCACTTGATATTATTTTATATTTATCGTTGTTGTACTTGATCCAGGGTCCACTTGGGTTGTCCCAGGTGCCCTCCGTCTTTCCCGTCTTGCGCCCGTCTCCTCCGTTCCGTCGACAATTTTTGTCAGCGCCCAACTTTTCCTCTTTTCTCTTATCGTCCCTAGACCTTCCCCCTTTTCCGGCGTCATCCCGGGTGACGACCCGCTCTCGTGCCCCCCCCTCTTTGGGCTGGTCACCGATTATCCTGCCGACGGTTTCGACCTTCAGCCCCCGTCGGAGGCTCCCGACACTTTATCCCGTTGATACCCGTCCTGCTAGTAGTTTCCTGCTGGTGCCGCCATTTTATCTAGGCCCACGCGGTCCCGGGCACTCCGGCCGGCCTACATTACGTCCTTCCCTTGGTCTCACGCGGTCCCCGGCACTTCGCCCTGCCGGCACCACGTCGTCCCTTGGTCCCACGTGGTCCCCAGCACTTCTTTCTGCCAGAACCGCCCCGTCCTTCGATCCCATGTGGTCTCTGGCACCTTGTCCCGCCGACACCACACTTCTTCCTAGCCCCCTGTGGTCCTCAGCACTTTGTTCTGCCGGCACCACACTTCTTTCCTTCCCTCGCAACGCGCCTCCTATGCTACTACCGACTTCCCGGCGACCCTCCTCCGTCCTTGGGGAAGGAGTCGCTCCTGCTATTCTCTCACAGTCCTTTGCCGCTTCCCGCTTAGACAGTTCCTTTCTAGTTTGGCGGTCCTGACGACTCTGGGCAACTTCCTACTGTCTGCGCCCATGCTTCCGATCTTTCCAGCATTCCTGCCTCCGGTTTTCCTTGCCGTGCACAAATTGGTCATATACAGTCTCTCGAGTGACAGGAAATCATTCGGGA